GCTGAGATGAACAGCCAAAATCCTTCTGAGAGAGCCTGAAACCACAATTCCAGCTCAGGTGAAGCTGTGAAAAGAAACTGGTCACATCTTCCTTGTGTATTCTGTCAGGTTTATCTCTTCTCTACAGCCCAGCAGGGATGTCTTTGCAGGTTGACAATATTTAAGCATGAGAGATTTGCAAAGGCCAAGAAAAACAGCCCAGAAAAAGACTTAGGAGTGGTTTTCATTTCAGTCTGATTAGGTCAGTTGGGCATCACTGCTCTGCTTTGCCATGATTCCTTGAGGTCAGTCTTCAGACCCCTACATTTCTCCTTCCCTTGGCCCACAAACTCTACCTTGCCACAAGGCTGGAAGAAACTGCTTTATTTGTGCATGTGAGTCCAGCAAGATATGCTTGAGATAAAGAACTGAATGCATTTAACTCCTGCTAAATTTTGCTCTCAGTGGGCACATCTACATATGCAATAAATTCAAAGCAATAAACTCTGGTACTTACTGTGATGGAATGTATTGTTCCTGGGCACCGTGTTTGCACATGCACCTGGGACCTCAGCATGTTGAGCTGAGTTGGAGCAGCACCAGCTGGCAGGGCAGGGTGCTGTGAAGGGGCTGGCTGGGGCATGAGAGTCTTCCAGTGCAGGGCTTGCTGGCAGGCAACCCCCACACTGAAGCACCCTCATGCCCCAGCCAGCTGGGTCAGAGTTTAAACATGCACTGCTGTGGAATAAAAAAAATTCTGCAGCAGGACAGTACTTGTATTTAAAAGTACTATTCTGCTACAGAGTTTATTAGTTTAGTCCAGCCTAATAGCCCTGTACATGTAGATGCCAAGACGTTTACTGCAGAGATAAATAGACTACTCCGCAGTAAACGTCTCGTGTAGATGTGCCCACTAGCACCACTGTCAATCAAAAATACCTTCAGTTAACCCCATGGAGCTATATGCCAGATGAATACAGGTGTATTAAAGAAGCCCCATGACACCAGGTAGAGAGAATCTCAGAGTTCAGGATTCCTGTAGCCTGAAATTAAGGATCCAATTCAGCAGTCATCCCATTAACTTCAGTGATTAAGGTTAAGCACAGGCTTGAGTGCTGATTGGGGATGGGTGTGAGCATGTATTGAAAGTGCTTTTCTGAGCTGCAGGTTATGGCTGACAGGTTTTGGAAGAAAGCCCAGTTCCTGGCTTTGCCCTGTGAACCCCCTCCCCATCCACCCCAGCAGGTCTGCCAACTTTGGCAACTGAATTTTCCCCTGTAGGAGATCAATACCAAACTCTTCCAGAGTCCCCCAAACAGGCGGAGTGCAGTCAGGTTTAACTGGGCACTTGTATTTGGGACAGTCAGCCCCTCCAGACTTTCCTTGCTTTCTCTTGTCCAATTTCCACCAGTAGCTCACTGGGGTTTGGTGTCAGCAGTGCCCTTTGGCTGTAGATGGATGTTGATTCATAGATGTTAGGGGCTGGAAGGGACCCCTTTGGCTGGAAGAGACAAATTGTGTGGGCTGGAGAGACCCCCATGATCCAACCAAGCCCCTGGGAAACCTGCCATACTGCTGTATTTGCCTGGGGAGGGACTTTGGTAACAGGACCACTGAGAGGGAATTTGCCCCCTCTGTGTAAACAGCCTAAGATTTACAACAGATCATTTCCAGTAAGAGCAGAGCTGCTTAATAACCAACCAGCTCTCCCCTCCCCAGGCCCCACTGCCCACAGCTGGCTGGGCTACTGCAGGCCCTTTAGACGGAGAAGTCCATGTCCTAGGGAGAGACCATGGCACTCCTTGCGCCTGTTTTCTTCCTTACCCTCCTCCTTGCTTCATCTTCTTATGGGCAGAGACAGAGGAGGCCCCCAGCCCCTGAGGGTCCCATTGAGACGGTCAAGATACAAGAGAACTTTAACCTCCACCAGGTGAGGGGTCAGGGAAATACGGGCTTCCCATTTCCCCAGCACAGGGTTCACAGGGTGTCCAGCCTGCTCACTTGCCACACATACCCCTGGGTTTGGCCTTCCTCTGGTTCAAGAGTGGCTTGTGTGATAGCTACTGCCTCTGCTGAGGCAGCAGGGATGATAAACCAGCCTGGGCTGCTACAGTGATCAGGGCTTGTGACACACATTCACCAATGGGTAGCATCTGCTGGGCATTGGCAAAGAGGCCCAGGGCTCCTGGGAGCTGAAGTTTGCTGCTTGGTGACCTGCAGAGTCCCACCTACGAGGAAACAGGAGTGAATGTGCCGTGTTGTGCCATGAATGTGACTATCATGGGGGCCCTTGGCGTCCCAAACCAGGCTCATTGCTGTACTGGGAGAGGAGCTTGTTCTGCTGCTGACTTCACTGTGCTGTTCCCCAGAGCAGCCCAGCCAGGCTCTTTGTCTCCAGGTCCCCAGTCAACCGGGGCATTTGCTCAGAGGTCAGCAGACTGGTAGCTGGGTGCAGGGAAGTGGCAAAGCAGACAGTCTGCCTCTGCCCCGTGTTTGCAAGATGTCTAGAAAGCTACAGCTGGGAGATGCTACAGGGACATACACCAAACCCCACCCAGTGCACAAAGAAGGGGCTTTGTGCTGGAGAACTGCAGCAAAAGCAGATCCTCCTGGGGTACTCTGGGCTTTGGTCACTGTGCCACTTCTACATGGGGTGATGGCCAAGTAATCCAGGTGGCGATTGAAACTTTGGCCATGTTACATGTCCTCAGCACCTATGCTTCTGTGAGCGCAGCCCCTTATAGCCCAGCTCTGCAGGGCATGAGGGGATGGGGGGACCTGGCCCCCACTCCACAGTGCAGTTGTCTTGATTCTGCAGCTGTTCAGGCCCTGGGCTGAGGGCAGGAGACAAGGTGCATTGTCCTTGTCCGTCGGTTTTTGTTTGGTGTTTGCTGTTCCTGAGCTTCCCTGGCCTCAGGCAGGCAGGGCAGATGGTGGCTCTTAGAGCCTCTCAGAGATGGATTTCCTCTTCCAGCCCTAGAGATTTCTTGGCTCCCGTCGGAACTGCCTGACAGACCCCGGCTCTGTCTGTATCTCACGGGGTCTGCCCACCTAGGCCTCCCAGCTGGGCATGGGCCAGGGTTTTATTATTGACTTCTTGCTTGCGAGAGATGCCTACAGCTCCTCACCTGTGACCCTGCCCCGCTCCCCACTGCCCCTGCCAGACTGCAGTGCAGTGTTTGTCATGGCACAGTGCCACCTCCTATCTTATCTGCTTGGCACCCGCCCTCCAAGCCATTTAGCAAACTTCCCCAACAAAGGGATCTCAGTGAGCAACACCAGCCCGGCAAGCTTCCATGCCATGGCCACAGGGAGCAAGGCCAAGTGTGGAGAGCTGGATTGGAAAAATATTGTTCTTTAGCTTTACATAAGAGCTGACACTCAAATGTACAGAGTTTAACTGCTGAAGCTCCTGACCTAGAAGGACCCAGAGAGGGATGTGGAGGCCTCAGCTAAGAATTGCCATAGGGGTTTTGTGTAGAGGTTTCTGTGGGGTTGCAGCCCCTTACCACATGCTCCTGGAGGGGCCTTTGCACTGCAACCATCCTGAGGGAAAAACCCTTTCACAAGTGTGCTTCCCCTTGCAAATAGGCAAGGTAGAGAACTCCAAAGGTGTCAAGAAAGCAGGTGGCTGTGATGGGGTTTTCATGAACAATGCATGCTGCCACAGGGAATCTGGGGAATTGTGGCAAGGGTCCAGGGCAAGCTCTCCATGGGGGAACTCCGTGGTGACTGGGCTGTTTTGGCCAGGAGAGAACAAGGCCCACGCTCTCATTTCCCAGTGCCATTTGCATGGCCGGCATGTTTCATTCTCTGCCCACAGCGCCCAGTTCTCAGAGGGAACTGAGCATATGCCACAGACCTTATTCAGAATGTTATCCATTTGTACGGATTCACTTGCATTTGTAATACCCCCTATTAATTCACAGGATAGCGTCACCTCAGGCTGAATTCACCAGGAGAAACTAGGTGTCTACATGCCTCATTGAGCACCCATCCCAACACTTAGGCTTCACCAGCATGCACAGAACCCCAGCCTGGCCCTGTCCACATCAGTTGCATTAGAGGACGCATTAGAGGACACTTGGGTCTGGAATATGACCTAAACAGAATGCAGGTCCATAAGTCCAGCATTGTGATCCAAAACACTCTGCTCAGCATGCATCCAATGCTAGAAGTACCCATACTCCCTGAGCACCTTCCTCTATGGGCTGGAGGTTCCCCAAGAGCCTGCAGAGCTGCTTTGCATGCCCAGAACAGCCCCTGACTAAACTGCCAAGCACTCAAGTCAGAAAACAGCCGTGTAACATGCTGCGTTTCTATGAGGAAGTCTTGCTGCAACATTAACATGGGAGCTTGCAAAGTGGCCAAAGTACGTGTAGGTTGCAATGTGCTTTTGCCTAGCTGCAAGCAATGCCTGTTTGGATGCTCTGTGTCACTCAAGAGTCCTGCCTTCAGTGTCAGTGGGAGCAGGATCTGGGCTTTGCCTTATACCATGCAGCAGCTCACATGCTAAAAACATGCTCTTCTCAAAGTGGTCTGTAACAGAGAGCCAGAAGGGTCCTGTTACCTGAGGAGGAAAGAGTAGCAGCTAAGCTAACTGCAAGGGAAATAATCAGCCAGGAGGAAAGACAGAGGCTAGGAGTGCCTATTGCAGAGCTGGTTACTCTGCAATAGTTCAGCATGAGGAAGAAGGGGCCCTGCTGCAGGAGCGTGTTTTTTTTTTTTTTAATAAAACATTTTAGCCCAGCAGCAGTAGGCTTCACTGGAAACCAGAGAGCAAGCCTAATTAGAAAACACCTTTGGGTAGCTGGGGGCCTCACCTGATCAGAAAAGGGTGGGTCTAAGAGATATATAAATCCAGGGTCTGAGCCAGGGCAGTCAGTCAGCCCTGGAGGCTGCAGGGGGGAAGAGCTTTGCAGTGAGATGCCTGCTGCTGGGTGACTGGCTGAGATCCTGCTACGCCTGGGAACAAATGAGGAACTGGGGCAGAGGCGGGCAATTATTTTGGGGGGAGGGCTGTTTACCGAGTTTTGGCAAGCTGTCAAGGGCTGCACGAGTAGCCCCACCCCTTGATAGTTGCCCCACCCCCTAGTCACCATCTTGGGACCAGAAGTCCTGACCCCTGACCTTTGCCACCAGAAGCCCCTCCCTTTGCCCCCCAGAAGTACTCCTTTCAGTAAGGGGTTTAGCCATCTCAGAACCAGAAAAATACTAAATTATATTCTAAAAAGTGAACATCTAAAACATTTAGTAATTTGATTTCAAATAATATTTTTGTCCTGGTTTACATGTGTTTGTGTAGTGTACATTGAGGTGATTGTATATAATAGCTTAAAATGAAGTCTTACTCTTGTATATTGTACGGGGTGTGGGTATAGGTTTGTGGGGGCTTTGGGTGTCCCCCCCCCAGGGTACCCACATGGCCCTGTGCTCCCCAGTTTGGCAATGCAGCTGGGAGCCATCTGGTGCTGGAGCAGTGTAGGGGCAGGAAGGCAGGGAAATGGCTGGGGGGGGGGGCGGGGCGGGGTGGCTGGGTGTGGGGCAGGGCTGGGCTGCTGTATCCTGCTGCCAACTCCCCCTGGATCCTACTGCCCCTGGCTCCTGTCATCTTTGACAGGCAGCCAGGAGCAGAAAAATACTTTCTACATGTTTAGGGGCCCCGCAGGCCAGATAGAATGGCCTTGCAGGCTGGATGCAGTCCGCGGCCTGCATTTTGCCCACCCATGGACTGGGGACTGGCAGGGCACTACGACCCAAATGAATAAGAGTTGGTATACAGCCAGTGAGCTGACAGTTTCATTATAGCCAGAGGGTTTATGGTTTCATTTGAGTTTTAACCAGTGATCTGGGTTGGGGACTGATAGGGGATATAGGAGGCCCCAGAGTGCCAGGGAGGCACATGAGGCTGAAGCTTGCTGGAACAGGGTGCAAGCTGTAGTATAGCCTGAGGGCAAAACTCAGGGCTGGGAGCCCAGCAGTAGAGAGAGGTCAAGGGACAGAGTTGGGGCCAAGGGAGAGGTCAAGTAAGGGTTGGAGATCCACAGCCCAGGAGGGGCAGAAATGAGCCCAAGAGGGGCTGGAGCTAGGACCAACACAGTAGGCTTGGGTTAGAAGGGTCCAGCAAGAGGAAAGGGGCAGAGGCCAAGAAGTCCAACAGGAGAATGACTGAATGATACCACTTGTGAGGCATGGTTATAGGGAAGGTCAGAGGCCATGAATAACCCATAAGGTGACAGGTGCCTTGGGGCATATACAGTCCAGGAGGGCCTACCTAATGTAAGGGCTGGGTTGGAATCAACTGGCTCTGAGAGGGATCTGTTGGCAGAAGACATCCTAAGGCTCATTCTACGATTCTTGGGCAGCCTCCCTTCCAAGAACTAACTAAGAACATCAAGGTGTGGCAGGCAGGAAAAGGGGAGGGTACCCTCAAGCCAGAACAGGGCAGGAGCTGCGTGACCATCAGGGAGCATCATGGCTGCCCCTGGGGCACCGGTCCTGTTTGATGCTCGTTGTCTGCATGTGTGTGGGCCTTAAAGGTAAGACCATATCAGGGTTTCCTTTTCCCCCAGAAGATAGTCAGAGGGAAAAGCTTTTTTTTTTTTTTTTTTGAGGAAAACTTTTTGTGTTCCAAGTCAAATCAGCCAAATCATCTCCAAATCCGTGTGTCATTCAAGAACCAAATGGGTCCTACTACCGGCAAACGTCCTCCACCCCCACCAGGGGCTTTGGATATTTCCAAAACCTTTGGCGAGCATCCTACTTGCAGGCCCAAGCTCTGAAGCTTCGGGTTCAGATGCCCCCCGAATTTGGCTTGCCCTTGGCCAAACGGCCACAGGTTCTGGCCCAGCCCCCCCGCCCCCCTCAAGCTGCAAACATGGCCTGAGCCGGGGCGGGGCGAGGCCAGCTGGGGCAAGCTGAGGGCAGGGTTGTTTGCCTCGCAACCAAAACCCAAGGAAATAGCGTGAGGTGCTGCAGCCGGCGGCTGGTGCCGCTGGAGGCTTTTAGGTGTGCTGGATCTGGCCCGCGGGCCGTATTTTGCCCACCCCTGGAGTAAGTGGAGCTTTGCCCTCACAAGGGGAGAGGACAACTCATAGGGTGTGTATTGTGCCAAGCCTCCTTTTGTTACAGCTTGCAGGGAAGTGGTTCCTGGTTGGTGTGGCATCCAAGTGTGACTACCTGAGAGAGTTCAATCACCAGCTGGAAGCAACATCCATTGTAGCAGCCATCCCAGATGGCAAGACCCTGGCCATCAGCACCTTCAGAAGACTGTGAGTTCCTCCAGGGCATGTTGGGTTGAAAAGGGTGGTGGTGCCCCAGGGCTGTACTGCAAGGCTGAGGTGGCTTCTTGCTGAAAGTCCAGGCAACAGCCCTGAGAACCAGCTACAGTCTTTGCTTGGAGTCATGTCAGGAGGCCACTCTGATTTGACCCAGCTGTAAAGGGATACTGGGCAATGAGGCTGGGAAATTAAAGGCAGCTTGGTGTGGTGGTGTGTCACTACCGGCTGTGCTCCATGGCTTAGCTCGATGGGTCCCTGGCTTAGGATTGAGCTGCTCCCCTAACTAGCATGAACAAGTCCCATAGCCCCAACCACCAGTGCAGGGATCTGGAGGGCTTGCCTCCCCCTATGAGAGCTAACAACCCACTGAGGCTGACCTGTGTGCTTGAGGCACCCTGCACTGGATAGGGCTCCAAGGTAGTCAGGTGTTGGGAAGTGATGGGGTTATGTGCCTACTTTTGAGGATCTGAGCCATAGCAAGGCACACTCACAAGTGCTGGCCTGAAGAAAGGACCTCCCCTGGACCTCGCTCACCTCCCAGCTCCCATGGCACCTCCCCATAGTTGTAGATATGTGTTGCATGTGCTCACACTTGCCTTACTCAAGTTAGCCTGAGTGCCATGGCCAAAGAACTGCCTTTGAAAACCAAGCTCTTACCGCCAGTGCTTCTGAGTCCCCTGGGGTCATAGACTTCAGCAGTCCACTCCAGCTGCGAAT